TCCAGCCTTCTGCTGCCTTCACTCTTCTGGAAGCACTATTCAGAGGGCCAGCTTCTCCTTGTGGCCAACCCTGCCGCAGGCTGTCTCCCAGGAAACCAAGCTGAGATAACGAGACAGGGAAGCGGGATCCACTCCAGTAAGATGCCAAAGGCGAACCATAAGACTTGCTCTCAGTGGCAGAACCTCGGCTTGGCAGACCATCGGGTCTTCTACTGAGACAAGCAAGGCAGGAGGGCTGGGCCTGAAGCTGCAGGATTGACACAGCCTACCAAGGCAAAGTTCTGGGCACGGGGAAGCAAGGACCCGTGAGGGGCTGTGGAGAGCCCTTCTGCACTGCGACAGGCTCCCAAGGCTGTTGGAGGTGGCTTGGCTTTGCTGCCACTCCTTTCTAAGAAATATTTTGGTGTCTGTTCTTATTTAACTTTTATTCCATTGTGATTTTAAATGTTCCTCTAATCCAATTATTCCATCTCCATAAAAGACAGACAAAACAAAAGTTTCTCTCCATGCACAGCAGCACCTGTACCACTACTGCGGGCAGCACAGCAGCAGTAACACAACGCAAACCGCGCGGCTTCCCCATCCACGTCAGCTGGGCAAATGTCTCCAATATTTCAAACTTTATTTTGGGACTGATACTCTGACATGGCCATGGCTCCTCTAAGTCATCTACTTCTCTGCCTCTCCTGTGCTGCGGACACTACTCGATCACCTTCTTACTTGATGCCATGTCTGCCCTCTGCATTCAACATGAGCACAGCATTGAGAACTCAGCGTCCCCCCTCCCGCCCTCACTTTGCCCACGTGTGGGGTCCTCCTCACCCTTCACCATCTTCTCCTCCCACAGCACATACCCTGGGAACGCTGCACTCCTGCTTCCCCCATCTTCAGCACCCTGTTTACCTATTAGTCTACAGGATCACCCTCCCCACTGAACTCTGGGCCCCTGAGCCAGGAAACAGGTGCTTAGTAAAGGAGCAGGTTCAGCAAGGTGGTCATCTCGAGCTGCACGTTCTTTTTTTTTTTTTTTTTATTTTTTTTTTTTAATATTTATTTTTTAGTTTTCGGTGGACACAACATCTTTGTTGGTATGTGGTGCTGAGGACCGAACCCCGGCCGCACGCATGCCAGGCGAGCGCGCTACCGCTTGAGCCACATCCCCAGCCCGAGCTGCACGTTCTTTAAGACGTTTCCCCCAGGCTTCAGGGTCCTCCTGTGGCTCACATCAACTTGAGTCAGGGCACTGAGCTGCGACACGAGGTGACACAGTTCACCCTTGTTGACCTCAGGTTCTGAGGTGCGAGGCTCACTTGGTGTCATCTCACCAGTGGCTGCAGGTCACCAGGTAGGAGCAGGTGCTCTGCCACTTACAGTAGGGCCAGGTCCCTATAGGCCCATCCCAGGCTGAGCGTAGCAGACATGGGAGAGGAGGCACGCAGATGCATCACCCGGTGACACCACAGCTTGCCAGCACACTGAGCTGTCCACCGCGTCCCCTCAGGAACCTGGGTCTCAAGGGAGCTTCAGCTCACTGCTGTGGGTCAGCATCAGGAGAGGACTGGACCACACCCAGAGTCTGGAAAAGATGGAGGTTCACGATTCAAAGTGTGGCTTCTCTATCACTTTCAAATCACAACGAAGTAAAAACCTCTTGAGGTCCAACAGTTGCCCGTCAGGAGCACCGAGGTGCCGTGACTGCCTGCGAGGGTTCCTGAGTCCTCACTCCGTCTTTGTGCCACGCCTTCACTTTGCTGCTGATGAAGTGAAGCACTCCCTGAATCACACAGATAGAAAGGGACACTGTGCTCAAGCCACAGCCAGCAGTCCTGAAGCCCCTGTCCCCACCTTGTGCCCTCTGTGCCGCTCTGATCCTTCTCACTCACTGTCTCCCTGCCTGACTCTTGTCCTGACATTTGCGGATTTCTCAAAGGTGAAAACCCTGAGTCCTGGTCATGGGCATTTCCTGTGGTGTCCAGTCCAGGCTGGCTCGTGCCAAACTGCTTCTGAGTGGAACCTTTAAGCTCAAGGGTTCAGCAGGTGTTGCCAAGAAGGCCAGCAGGTAGGAAGTGGCTCAGACTTGCCTTCCTTCCGTCTGTCCCCGTGCCTGCTCTGTACCTGGGGGGAGGTTTGGGCTGAGAATCCCCACAGAAGCTTGATGGGAGTTGATAGGGGATGTTATGGGGAATCACAGGTTCAGTTGTGATGAGGGACTTCAGGCTCCGTTGCAGTTGATGAGGGGACTAGTGAAAACACTGGAACCTCCCAGGAGCCACCAAGCCATTCTAGGCAATGTTGTCTATCCAAATACCACTGACCCTATGTGGGTGGCCCTGTGCCGGCCATTAGTGCAGGGCTGTGGGGCACCCTGGGGCACACCACATCTCAACCTGCTTAATGCTAGGGCCAAATCGTGCCCCCCACAACTGGCCTGTGAGACCTTTCCCCAGGGTGGCTGTATTGGAGTGGGGGTCCCTGGAGGTAAGGAAGGTCAAATGAAGTCCTGAGGTAGCAGCCTCTCTGACAGGCTGTGGCCGTGGGAGTGCAGGAAGTGAGGCCCCAGGAGAGGCTCCTGATGGCCAGGAGGAGCACACACTGGGGCATCCACTGCTCCTGGGCCTCACACCTCCAGGTGCGCAGCCTGTGGCACTGTGTGGGGGTGGCATGAGCTCATTAGCAAGGGTCAGCTCAGCGCAGCCTGCACCGAATGCCTGGGTCCAACAGGCTTCCTAGAAAACGTGACGTGGAAGACGGAGGAGGAGTCCATCCCAAGAACATACCCTAGGTGCTCTGACACCCAGCAGCAACTGACTTGGAGGATGATTGGCTCTGAAAGCTGATTAAACTCCAAGAAAGAACCAAGAGGTCGGTCAGTTCAGAGTGTTGCTAAGGGAGCTCCAGGGACAGGTTGAGCTGGCCCTGAATGAAAAAACAGCTTCTGGGCAGTTTCCCAGACCCTCCAGGAATGAGCTGCACAGAGAAGCTCTGTGTGCATACATATCTAAGGGTGTGCATAATATCTATGTGTGTGTGTGTGTGTGTGTGTGTACATACAGATACACATGTGTGAATGTGTGTGTGCTTGTCAACTTTCTGTCTCTGGGACAAAATACATGAAGTCGGTTATGTAAAAGGACAGAGGATTATTTCGGTTCATGGTTTCAGAGGTTCACCACATGGTCCCTTGGCCAGGTTGCTTTGGGGGCTCTGGCGAGCCAACACATCATGATGGAGGAAAGACACCCACCTCTGGCAGCCAGGAATCAGAGGGAGAGGAAGGGGCCACGGCCCCATATCTCCCAACCAGCAGACTTCCGTGCACAAGGCCAATCCTCCTAACAGTTCCACCACCTCCCACAGCACCCCTGGCTGGTTACCAAGGGTTCAGCATGAAGACTTTGAGGACACTCAGAACTCAAACCATGAGTTTTACATTCAGACACACATAGAAAAGTGAATTTACAGAACAAGGGTGCATCCACACTCCAACAAATATGTAAACAACTCAGAAAACAAATCCACCCTCTGCTTTCTAAATAACTGTGGCTTTTTAAAATCCTCTTATTAGTGTGAATTGTTAAGAACAGACTGTTCTCATTAAAGTATACCATGCTAATTGCCTTTAGAACCTTTATAAGAAATTATGTGGAAATAAAATGATTGCATATGAACTCAGTTCTGTTAAACAATATGCATAACTGGAAGGGACTTGAGCTAAATTAGCAGCTACCACTGGGTGATGTAATTATAAGTGACTTCTATTTTCTTCATTTTGCTTTACACTGTTTTTCAAGTACTCACCAAATGTGTAGATTTTAGAGTTATTAAAAAAAAAGGGTTAAGATCTTTCTGATCTATGAAACCCATCTGAATGGCATCTTACCTACGCTAAGCACTATGAGGGTTTCTGTGTCATTAGTCATGACCTGATGGGAGACATATTCATGAGCACTTGATTTGGCACTGTGTCCTGAAATGTGGCTGTCAAGGGCCTCACCACCATGATGAAAGACACCTATTTCCCCCAGAGTCTCCTTGCCTGTCCTTGAGACCCTGGATCTGACCTGGACCACTGGGGAGGTTGGCAGGTGTTAAAGTGGGGACAGCAGAGGGCGGTGCTGCCCCTGAAGATGGGAGCGTTTACGACTGGAGTTCACATGCAGGGCTAGTTGGAGAATGGTGCAGGTCTCAGGAGGACTACATGCAAGTCGAGAGGGGCCAGGTGGACACCAGGGCCAATAGGCAGAGCCCCAGGATGGAAGGAGGAGGCATAATCAACTCATGGGCTGGTGGCGTAGAGGCAAGACCAGCAGAATTTTTCAAAGGCGCCATGGTCTGAGTGGACAGCTAGAAGTCAGGGTGCTGGGGACAAGCTCTGCATCGCCTCAGAATGCTGGTGATACCAGGCACTGTCCCTCTGTGCTGGATCCGTCCCAAGGTTCAGGACTCTGCCTGGCTCCCTCTCCTCAGCCTGTTGCCCGCCACTCTGAGACTTGTGAGTCAGCAGCGAGACGCTCACTGCCACTGTGTGTGGACTGCTTACTGCAGAGGGCGGTCGTGCTGTGGGGCTGGCCCCAGGTTTCCGAGTCGGTGCGTGGACACCTCGCACGTCTGATGAGCAAGTCCTGCAGGGACGATGCTGGGACCTGCCATCCTTCGGGGACCTGGTCTAGAGCAGCAGGGTTCGTTCACCCCAGCCCTCCGCCTCCGGGGTCGTGCATCTGTGGTGAGGGCCGAGCTGCCCTGCCCCTGACCCCGGGAGGAGTTGTCCCTCATGGGTCCCAGGGTGTTGGCTTTGATTTTAGACTGGAAAGTGTATTTTCTCCCATGGCTCATCTCCATCCAGTCTTCCTTTAAAGTGGGCTGTCTGAAGTGGACTTATTAATATTGATAATCTTGTTGATTAAATTTTAAAGCGCACTTGCCCTTAGCCATTGCAGTTTGTGAAAACACGCACTTATTGTCAACACACAGCAAAGAAAGACTTCATAACAGTCAGCGAGTGAGACAAAACTATTTTAATATATTGCTACATGTTACAAAACAGTCTCTGTCCAAACACAACTTACTTAATAGAATACTTTCAACAAGAGCAAAACACACATAATACATTATTGCTTAAAGGGAACTTATTGCTACAGTGTTTGCTTATTTGGTTTTCAGTCTATGCAGCAATTGGACTCCAAAATCTGAGAGATAAAATAGGGCCTATTTTTCAGATAATTCAGTGAAATGAGCTCAATCACCTTCAATTTGGGGGGGGAAAAAGGAAACTGCCCTATGATATATCATCTAATGATAGAGATGGTTAGTGCCAAGCGGACACTGAACTTAAGCAATAATTGAAAGCACCACAAAACATTTGTACTTACACTTGAAGTAAGATATATAACTAAACTATGCTTCTTCATTGTCTCAATAAAAAGCAACATTTTCCACAAAACTAACACTCATATTTAAAACGGAAAAAAAAGCAAAACACTATGTAAAACACTATGTGAGCTTAAATGTTATTGCAGTGTTTAAAATTCCCATTTCTTCCTTTTAAGAAAAAGGGACATTTAAATATTTTAAACATCAATGCTTTACAAATCCTGACGGTAAATGAGAGGGTTAATAGCAGCTCAAACAGCTGGAAAATATACTTAAAATAGCTTATATCTCAAATGCACCTCTTGTTTTGCATCATATTGTCCTTAGAGGAAAGACAAGCAGTTTCCCTCAACTAGAAATAAATCTAATCCACTTCAGAAGGTTTGGGCTTCAGTGGGACCTGCCTTCAGATCAGCTGGCTGAGCCCTGGCAGCACATCAGAGCATCTCAGGGCTTTCTCACACAGGGCCAAAGCACACTCATGCAAACGACAAATCCATTTCATGTTCCAGCTGATTACATCTGGCAAGGCCTGCTTAGGTGCCATCAAAACCCCTGGGGAAAATGTTTCCTGGTTCATTTTTTTCCTCTTGAAAAAGGACAAAAAGTAGAAAATACAAACAATTATCTAATTTTGGATGGGACACACATATTTCAGTTGAATTATATGACTTAAAAACTAAAATAGGAATATATTTTTTAAGGAAAAAAAAATCACAAAACCAAACTTTTCAAAATCACCAAGCCCTGTAAAAGGCCCTGAGTTCCAGCCCCAGTGCTGCAAAAACAAAAACATACAATAAAAAAGGGAAAGTCATAAAACAAAAAAGAAAAAAAATTACCAAGTCCTGAAATTTGATTATGAACAGGGAATTTCTACAGGTTCCTAATGAAATGAGACACTAAAGTGCCCCCTAGTGAGGCCTTCTGGAATTGCAGTCTAATTAAATTGGCAAAAAAAATTTTTCTATGATTTTGCTTCCTTGAAACAATGATAGGAAATTATTCTATTCCAGGTAATGAGATACTATCTAAGTTACACAATGAAACCACATGATGTATTTATACAAGGAGAAAATGTTGATCAAGTGTCATTATTTCCCATGCTTCCCTCTTAGAGCTAGAAAAGAAAGGAAGAGTTTTCTCTCCTACTGGCCTAGACTGTATCTTGTTTCCACTGACTCAACGTTAACGGAGAAATGGTATAAGGTGCTGTGGCTTCACTTGCATAAACTGCAGGTGCACTTGGCGGGTTTTATGGAATTGCCCACACTGTCAATTTTCAGAGCTTTGAAGACAAACATCTGGTCAAATGAAAAGTCACGTTTTCACTTGACACTCCCATGCCCTGAAAAGTAGGTGGTCACAGCAATTGAAGTCCCACTCTTGCTCCATATCAGGGAACGTGGAGTCTGCTGGTTGTGCCAAGGGTCTTTGAAGAAGAATCTGTGTAGCACAGACAGCACGGGCACCAGGGGTCCCCTTGCTCAAGAAGCAGGTGCTCCTTGGAGATAGATGAGTTTCCTTCATTGTTCATTAAAATGTCTGTGGACCGTTTCTATAATTCTAAATAAAATTCCCAAGATTTCAGTGATATAAAGACAGAAAATGAAGGAGCTTTACAATAAGCAGAAGTAACTGGAGGCAGTATTTGATAATATTTCTAAGGTGAAAAGTGACATTTCAATCCATGTTTAGCAGGAAATAACTGATGATCAAATAAAAGAAAGACAAAAACGAGACTGGAAAAAATAGCTTTGAAATAAAAACACAGCAGTCACAGGAAATTTTGCTGAAAATACCAAACCCATTGGAATTATGGATTGCTCCCCCCTCCCCCGCCCAGGTATCCTTGTAGCTTATTTCTCACAAAGGCATCTTTGAACTAGATGATTGTGCTCTTGTTCACAGTCGGCTGAGAACCTTTTAAATAACAATACAGCACTAAGCCAACTAACTGAAGTGTGGACTTCAGTTACGCAGGTGATTTCTATGTTCAGTGCCCACCGGCAATTCGACGTGATGCGCAGGTTTCTGGCCACTGAGAAAGACCAGTGTGCAGGTCCTGCAGACCACGGCAGCCACACGGGTTGGCCCTTGCTCTGCTGACAGCATCACCAGTCCAGTTTCAGGTCGGCCTTGCTCCAGACATACTTTCCTCCTCGCTTCAGAAACATACGTTCATCAAACCCACTGAATTTTATAGCTTCTTCCACTCCAACGTCCAGGATAGACATGGAAGGATCCTTCCGGCCACTTCTGCAGTTCAGAAAGCGCATCTAGGAAATTTAAGAAAGAAATCAGTCTATTTCCATAAAGTTTATGCTGTGAAACCCATTTTAAGGTATCAATGCAAAATATTTTTTTAATATTCCAATCATGTCAATAAATGATGACTGAGAATGGTGGCCAAAAACTGAGCTCCCTAAGCTTCACCCCCCCCACACACTGAGGAAGAGGTGAGGTCCACTGAGAGCCTCAGGAGCAGGATGAGGGCTCACTACCATGGCTTCCAGCAGAGGCGACATGCTGATCTGGAGAGACTTCTCCCCCGAGTCGAAATTTGTTTTGAAAGTGTAAAGGGAAGGGAAAGGTCCCTTGAAGGCTTGGACTTGTTAACTGAGCATTTCCATTACTACTCTTTCCCTTATGTCCCACAAAGAAAGCTCATGTTGATAATAAGTGAAATTGCTATAAAGCAACTCGGATGAACTTGAAATTAATGAAATATAAAAGTTATCTTAAATATCCCTCAAAGAAAATCCAATCTAAATATTGAACCCATGGTTCTTGTTTGAGCTCATTTCTTCTGAAAAACATATCTTTGAATGGAATTATTTGTCTTTTGATAGACATATTGACAAAAGTTATAAATCTGGACCAAAAAAAAAGACAAAGGAAAAGAAAGTGGATTCTTTTCCAGTTGTGAGAGGGTAGGTTTTCCCTTTCCTATGGAAGATGATGAGGGAAGAGGGTATGAGTGGTGCTTAGAAAGGAAAGGAAGGGCAAGGCCCCTCTGCCACTGCCAAGGTTAGTCAGCCAGGGAGTGAGCTGCCTATCAAAGGAGATGCAGTCCAGGGCCCTTTCACATGCTGGGGGTCCTTGTGAGGTCCACGGACACCACGCCAGGCAGGAGCCACACCATATGGCAACTAGTGCCAATCCAGGGACCTGGGCCCAAGCCAGTGCCTGCAGAGGTGCTGGGTGCATATGGCAAAGAGACCCCCAGCTGTATCATTTTAATGACCCTAACTGGCCAAAAAACCTGTGACAGGCCACGAAGACGGACAAACGGGTCCTACATGATGGCATTCAGCTCAGCGCTGGACTTGCTGCTGAACTAGCTTTTCAGTGATAATTTCATAACTCAAGAGAAATACTCACATATTCATCCAGGATGAGGTAGGAGTCTTTCATCTGCAAAGAAGGAATTGCATACAAATTTAGTCCTAGGCATATTTTTCAGTGTGTATTTTCAACTGTCTATAATGAAATGTGCATTTGGGTTTTGTAATTCTAGGTTCAATATTTCTTATCTCATTTGAGTGGCTTTTGGTGAGACCCTCATAAGGGGAGGGACTGTGTGTGTCCCTTCAGAGCCGCACAGGTTCAGCAGGCCTGGATGATCTGCCTCAAATGGAAAGGTCAAGAGAAGGAGCCAATCCGCTCCACTCCACATTCCCTGACAGTGGCCCCCAGTGTTCCCTGACTGTGGACCCTCTTTCTGAAGTACCGAGCAGAGCACTCTTCAGGGCTAGCACGTGGGACTACAGGGTGGCTTCTCCCATTGATTCTGCCGCGCTAAGCGGACTGACAGTAGTGGCGCATTGTGTGTGCGTAGAGGGATTCCTGAGCTTCCAGCAGGTAGACAGACCTTCTGCCCCCACCGACAGACACCTAGGGCAAAGGTCCCAGCCGATTCACATGGGGGAAAGAAAACCTGGGTGGGAGCCTTTGGGGAGTTGAGATGCGCAGGTGGGTGAGGAGCTCTTCATACAAGGATGGAGACCGAGAACAGTGCCATCTTTCATTGCTTTCCTTATTTTCTTTGCCCTCACACTATGTAATTAAGATGGAGGTGGGAAGATCCCGTAAACAGAGACCCCGCGGGAGGGTTTCCTCCACTTCCTCCCTGCTCCCTGAAGCCTGCCCTGCTCTCTCTCCATTTGGGGATTTTCTCACTCGTGCTTAGTTCAATATCACCTTTAAACTCCAGCCATCCATCAAGACCTTCAGAAGCCAAAGCATAAGGAATCAATTTCTGTCCCTGGAATTCCTGACATTATGCGAGCATCCGGGGGAGAGATTTTCTGTGTGTGTATTTTGGGGTGGCAGATGGGAGAACCTGTTTTAAAAATACTTCTTCAAATAACAAATCTTATCTTTTACAAATTGGAAGATCCAAAAAGTTATAAAATCCACCAAATTATTGGAATTTGCACTACTCTGGGGGATATGTATGGATTTTTTTTTTTTTTCAGATCAGCATTGAGTTTCAAATTGATTTTGCATGTTGGTTTTCAACTTTACTAATATCGTGTGATGAGATCTTATCCTGGTAACATAACACTCTTAAATATGCTTTATTCAGTAGACTATTCACTATGCTAACGTATTAATGCACCTGTTCCTGCCCTACAGGGAAGCGAAGCTACTTTCACTTTATTTCTATTGTTCTTAATGCTGCAGCAACAAACCTTTATATAAATATTTCTTTGCATCTTTATATAAAGATTTCTTGTGTTTTGAAGTAGAATTTAAGAATCAATATATAAGAACACTTCAAAGGTTATCATAATAAATTATCAGTTCATTGTCTAGGAAATCCATGGGCATTATCCTTCTACTAACCATATGAATCACCTCTTACTGCATCTTCACATTTCATATTTAAATTTCCATTTCTTTGAATACTGATAATATCAAAGACTGTTAAAATGTTTATTCACTCTTTGATTTTCCTGTGTAAATCATCTGTTTGTGCCCATTACCTGATTAACTTTCTCTGTTAGCAGGTTCTTATTGATTTAAAGAACTTTTTATATTATATTTTTATATAATACTTTATTTTATATAATTTGGTGTAATTACAAAAAAAATGATGGTAGCATATTTTACTTTTAATTTTTATGATGTATGTAGCTTATAATTTTAACTTTAATGTACTCAAATTTTGGCGTTCATAATTGTTTCAAAATGTGCATAATTTGTATTAATAAGGCGTTTCCTCCACTGTGGCAGGAAGAACGGGCATCATTTTTCTTTAGATTTTGAGAGTGCATTCATCCGTGACTGCCTCTGGTAATTCCTGAAGTCCCAGCAGAGACATGCTTTGGCCAACCCTGCTAAGTCTATGAGTGGAATTTGTCCTTTTAGGGTGCATTCAATTGTGCTTACACTAGACAACTAAAGAAGTGGCAAACCATTTCTTCTACCTTCTACCCAACTTCTAAAGTTTTTCCTAGAAACAGTTCAAGGGAATCAAGTGATGATGTTGATAGCAAGAGGACGGCATTCAAGAGCCCCCTCCTTCTTTCCCAGAAGTAGAAATGCTAAGTGCATAGCAGCATGGGTTGAGATGGCACAGTGGTGATACATGAAGTCACATCACCTCTGGGTGGCACTCTGCCTTCCCGGAGGGGGACACTGACGCTCCTGAAAGCCCACCGTCAGCAGGTAGCCAGGGTGGACCTGGGCTTTTCTGGCTGGGGACTCCCTCCTCCCTCTCTCTGTGCTGAATCCCCTGAGACCACAAGTCGTCCCTATGCGAGTCCTTGGGCCAGGATTCCCTGCTCTGGACTCAATCTGAAGGCAAGCAGGAAAGCCCGCTGGGCTGTATACAACCTTCTGGTTGGACTCGGGCACCAAGCAGGACACTCCTTTGTGACGCTCTAAGAATTCTTCAAACTCTTGGTCGCTGATGACGAATCTTTGTGCTTCTCTCAGGGCATCGTCTCCACAGTTCTCGCCCTCAATCAGGAGGCACTGGAACACCTGAAAGGAGGAGAGCCTGTGGGCAAGGCCGTCATCCGGCTGGCCCCAGCCCCACCCCGGTCCAAACTCCACGAGCTCAGCAGTCCTGGGGAGACCTCACGCTGGGAAAGGAGGGCGGCCCTGGAATTCAGGAATATGATGTTGGAAGCACAAACATTCTAAAAATAGAAATTCCTCAAACTGCCTAGAGTATGTTTGATCTAAGTTTATGATCCAATGTTTTCAGACTAGAAAATCATTAATGTTTTTTGAAGAAAACGGGGACTATTAAAAAGCATTAAAAAAAAAACAACTGTCATCTTCAAACCAAGAGAAAACTATTTTAAAAATATTGTTGTTTTTGCTGATTTTTAATATATCCTAAGTACTTTTAAACCAGGTTTGCTTTTCAATTAATACATAAGGACAAATTTTTGAAGTCATTAATACAGTTTTTCATTCTTCTTTTAAGTAAATAAGTGTGTACATGACTGTGCGTGCACAGGTGTTTTTGTGAGTTTATATGTGTGACCGTGTGTCCGTGTGTGTGTCAGTGTGTGTGCTGACTGTGTGAGAGCTGAGTGTGCACACTGCATTACCCCACCCAGAGCAGTGCTGTCATTTGAGCAGGGAGGCCCCAGGGAAGGCAAGCAACCAGGCAAGGTGTCCCAGGTGGCACAGGGTGACAGAGCTGAAGCAGAACCCGGGGCTAACAGGCTTTTGTGGAACAGGTTTCTCTACATGGAATTAATCAATAGCATCCGGATTAATTTGAGGCTGTTTTAGTCAGGGCTAATGTCATAAAGCTCTAAAGATGGCCTCTCAGGCTGGGGACATAGCTCAGTCGGCTGCGTGCTGGCCTAGCTTGCGCCAGGCCCTGGGTTCAACCCCCAGAAGAAGATGGCCTCTCGCTCTGTGTCCTCCCTCTGGCGCACGGTTGCCGAGGGCTGCCGCGCCCATGGCCTCGTGGGAAGAGGGCACCCCAGGAAACCAGGGAGCAAAGGGACCAAGCAGGGGCGACAGTTTCCATCTGCCAACAGCCTTTGAAGATCAGCCTCTCAGTGAGCACAGTTTTCCAGGGGGGGAAGCTCCGCCCTCTGAGAGTCAGGTCTTCAAGGGTAAGAAGTGCCCTTGTAGTGGTCAAGAGAGTGGAGTAAAAGTCTGGGAGATAAGAGGAGAGCCAAGCAGTGGGGGAAGTCATATGAGAACAATGAGATGGCAGGAGAAGAGAGGAGGGACCAGGACAGAGGGACAGGACGGCCGGCTCCAGGAGCTCTCAGCTCGGAGGGCAGCCACCCC